ACGGATAAAATTCAGTAAAAGATTCAGCTTTCCATCTATAACAGAAAAAAAAGTTATGACCTTTCAAAGTTTTCCTGGTCAATCAACATACCCCAAACTCCATACACAAAATTATTCTCAGATTTGAAGTCGAAATCTATGAAATAAGGCACTCAGAAAAATTGAAAAATTGATAAATCACCCCAATTGCTTAACACGATTTTTATCTCAGGAACTATAAGTGCAAATGAGCTGAAATTTTCAGGGATTGTAGTCCTTTGAAAGGGATAAAATTCAGGGAAAGTGTCAGCTTTCTATCTACATACTAAAATGATAAAATTTCTTATTTTTTGGAGCCGGATTCTATGAGAAAAGGCAATGAAACCTCAAAATTTCACAAAAAAAAAATTTAGGTAGGTACTATTTTTTATTGAAAAGCTTACACGGTAAGAATAAATACTTTATATTTGCATAAATTAATGCAGTTATCGTTGACAAAGTACAATTTTCCAGATGATACACTAGGTATGAGGAAGAAAACAAAACTCTAAAGGAGAAAACTTGCTGTGTTAGTAAGTAAGGGCAGACTTGAAACTCTTAAAAATGTGCCTTCTTGGACAGTTAATGTTGCAAAAAAGTAAGTTAAATTTTAGTTTTGTTTGGAAAAAAACTCATCCCAGAATCCCAATTCTATCGACGTAGATGAATAACTATAGGTATAATAAGCCTTTTGAGAAGTTGTAAACACTTAAAATTCAATCCAGAATTTCCAAAAGCATTATGTTGCGCTTCAGAACATTTTGGAAATTTCAGAACAATTTTAAAATGCCCTAAAACATTCAAAACAATTTCCAAAAGCATTTTAGAACAGTTCAGCAAGTTTTAAACCCATCATTCTAGGACGCTCCAGAACACTCAAACAATCTAGATTCTCCACAAATATTTTGCAAAGCGCCAGCAGGTTGAAAATTACAAAATGCCTTTCAGATGGTTTTTAAAAGCCTCTTTAGATTGCTTTAGAACTTTCAATAAGCAGTTCAAATCCAAATCAGAACTTTCAGGAGCATTTCGGAACAAATGAGAGTTATTTAGAACAATTAGGATTCAATTAAGAACTGAAAACCTCTTAGAACGCTTTTGAACCAATTTAGAAAACTTTTATCTAGAATGCTCCAGAATTTTTCAACCCAAGTAAGAACAGTTTAGAACTTCAATAAGCCATTTATTAGGGTGTTCCAGCAGTATTTTGAAAGGCTTCAGAATAATTTAAAAACCTCAGAATTATTTCAGAGGGCCTAAGCGCCAGGAATAAACAAAAATTGAATTGAAGATAAGTAATAATAAGGAAATATTAGCGAGAAAATATTTTTCTTTTAATTTAAATTCGTGAATTTTTATAATTTTTCCTATTGCAGGCTTTTGATTTTCCCTCATTTCTTTATTTTAAATTGTCAATTTTCTTTTAATGCAAAAATACTGTTCCTAACACGTGCGCAAAGTAGTTTTTTCGCACTTAAAGCTTATCCAGTAACTGCTTGTGCGTGCGAGAAAACATAACATTCCGCACTGAAGGAAAATTACTATTTTCCAAATAAAAATGGTTTAAATAATATCAAAAATATTTTTGGACCAATGAAAATCGACTATCTACGATTTTTGAGGCTAGTAATTAAAAGGGGCGGAGCCTATGCCTACTATTCAGAAAAAAAGGGCGGAGCTTATTTATACTAATAACAAAGGAATTTTATTGGAGAATATTTTTGGCAATTTTTTGTTTGAGAACTCGACATTGGTGGATTGATAACCAATAATGGGGTTTATTTTGGAACAAGCAATTTTCACCTTTATGTAATAACTAGCTGACCCGGCGAACTTCATACCGCCTCTGAATTATTAAATATACCTATTAAATGTTGTGTTAACGTATCTATTAGCTGAATTAAATTCAGTTTTTTTCGATGGTGAATTTGGCTTTGGTCGAAGAAAATTAATGTTTACTCTTTGGATCAGAAGGCACCTAAAATTAAAATTTTACATCATCCTTTCTTAGGCAGCTTGTGGGCATTTTTCTTGTAAAGTGTACCACCAAATAAATAAACTCAGGCACAGGAATGTTCAAAGAATGTAAAGAAAACAAAAAAAATCTCCAGCGCAGCCCTGTTTCATTTTATCTGCACTGCATGCACTGCAATACTCCATCTGTTCTACTCCATCTGCACTACTCTATCTGACCTACTCTTTCTGCACCACTCTATCTGATAGGAATAGTGGAATAGTTCTGTGCAGCATTGTTCTACTGTATCTGCAATGCCGAGCTTCGTTCCAGGTATCAGAGATGGCGCGGTATACAAAATACAAAATAAACTTGGTATCGGTTTTACATCGCTACTATTTACCTAGCCATTACAGGGGCTAATAGGCTCGTTCAGTGAAGTTTCATTAACCACGTTTTTTGATATTTTTATGGAGTATTACTCACATATAGTACACAAAAAAAAATTCAGCTCAATTGGATAAATATTAAAAAAGTTATGCGGCTTTGAATATTAAAACATTATGCCTCAGAAATTCATCGCTGAGAGATGCTATGACGTCATCTTTCGAGTCAACACGGGCTAAAGGCCGTCACACGACCAACGTGAGAGATGCAGTGACGTCACCGTGTGTTTCAACACTTTCAAATTTGGATCGTTTTGATAATTTATTTAAATATGAACAAGGGCTCAGAAAATTATGAAATTTTGCAAAACTGCTAAACTCAATACGCTCTTTTAGAATTTGTAATAAAAAAAATATGCTGTACGAACCTATTAAAGCTATAAAAACATGTTGGGATATTCTGTAGTAAAAAAAATGCTTTAAAACCAAAATCAATCAAGGAAATGCTGAAAATGACCCCAGAAGAAAAAATCTAACGGGCTTAAATCTGGAGAACGTGGCGGCCACTTAATAGCTCCTCTCATTCGAAACCATTGTCCTGGAAACGTTTTTTCCACTATCTTGTTGAAATATTAGACAGTTTTCCATGTATCCGTTATCACTCTCTAGTATCTCCACCAATTCTGGATAAATCGCATCTTCTAACCACTCTAGGTAGGTACATTTCTCCTGTTGAATTTATAGGTAAAAAAGGGGCCTATTATACGGTTATCAAAAATGCTAGCTCTAACACTCAAATAATTTACATCTGTATAACGCCCTAGGACGTTATTTCGCACGTATTATACCTAGAAATAGGGTTATTATTTTCAAATAATAAACTGGCATAACATCAAATGAAGGAGAAGCATTTAAAATCTACCAGCAGGTACCAGTTAGTAAGTTTGAAGACTAATGTCAGTTTCCATATTAAGTATTTATTATTAACTTTAAGAGCTTTTTAATGATTTACCCGCTTGCTGAAAGGGTAAAAATCATTGAAATTTACTTCCCGAGTCAGTATGCTAATCAAACAGCAGAGTTATTCAAGAAGCGTCACTTTTTCTACAGGAGTTATAGTTCTCCTGTTGAATTTATAGGTAAAGAATGGGGTCTATTATACGGTTACCAAAAATGCTAGCCCAAACACTCAATTTTTTGGGATGTTGTGTATGCACCACACAAAATATGTATTCTGGGATTTGAATTAGCCCAATAGCGGCAGTTGTGGCGGCTGCTTCGCCTAATACTAGAAACTGTAGACATTTTTCTCGTACTTGAAGTAGGATCCAAAACAATCTGTCCCAAAACCGCTACCTCAGTGGTTTCATTTATAACTGCGTTTTCAATAACCCGTTTTTTGTTACATACGTTTCCTGTTGCTCGAAATTTTTGAACTAGCTCCAGAACATACTTCCGATAGACATGCTTGTCTTGGTGACGCTGATTGAATAACTCTGCTGTTTGATTAGCACACTGACTCTGGAAGAAAATTTCAATGAGCGAGTGAACCATTAAAAAGCTCACTAAAGTTAATAATAAATACTTAATATCGACATGGAAACTGACATTAGTCTTCAAATTTACTAACTGGTACCTGCTGGAAGATTTTAAATGCTCCATCTTCATTTGATGTCATGCCAGTTTATTATTTGAAAATAATAACCCTATTTCCAGGTATAATACATGCGAAATAACGTCTTAGGGCATTATGGAGATGTAGATTATTGGAGCATTTTTGATAACCGTATAATAGGCCCCTTTTTTACCTATAAATCAACAGGAGGAATGTACCTAGCGTGGTTAGAAGATGCGATTTATCCAGAATTGGTGAAGATACTAGAGAATGATAACGGATACATGGAAAACCGTCTAATATTTCAACAAAATGGTGCGCCACCCCACTATGCTGCAGTGGTTCATCAATATTGGGACCAAACGTTTCCAGGACAATGGTTTCGAAGGTGAGGAGGTTGGCCGTCACGTTCTCCAGATTTAAGCCCGTTAGATTTTTTCTTCTGGGGTCATTTTCAGCATTTATTTGATTGATTTTGGTTTCAAAGCATTTTTTGTAATACAAAATACCCCAACTTGTTTTTGTAGCTTTAATTAGACCCTGTAATGGCTAGGTAAATAGTAGCGATGTAAAACTCGGGGGTTATAATCTACATAAAAATAGCTTCAAAATAAGGTAGCACTCGGCCCCTCGTTCCATTTAAAATTTTTGGGGCCCTTGTCACCCCCGCTAGGGCTTTACCCCCCAAGGGTTGAAAATGCAAAAAAAATTGTTTCCCCTTAAATCAAATATCGACGGGTACGAGGGTTTTTTCTTAAATGTTTTGGGGAGCCCAAAATCACCTCTGTTTCGTTTTCAATTGGCCACCCTGTATATATAGATATGGCAATTCAATCATGGTCAAACGAAATGATTTTGGCGCTATAAGAATTTTCCAAAATATCGATATCTGTTCCATTGCAACTGTGTATTTCCACATTGACAATCCCCAGTAGTCAACCTATAAATAGAAATACAAGATGATTGGCACAAGCTCTAATCCTATTTCTACTGCAAAATCTTATTTAAAAAAAAACACAGTCTAAAATTATTATTTACACAAATTTATTTACTTAATAGCTTTAAAATACAAATAAAAATATCGTTTTGCCGAATCACAATAATAATTAATTAAATAATTAATTAAAAATGCAGTTAGGTGTGAAAATTAATTGTAAAAACAAAAAAAAAAATCCTCACTGCAAGACCAGTCTTAGATTCGAACAACGGATATTTTATTGTTAAATTAAACTAACTTAAAATTGAAGTTATACTATAAATCGTAATAATAATCAGTGAGGTAGAATTTGTTTATATTCTAACCAAAATATTAAATTAAATTTAGTAATTAAATTAAAAGAAAAATATGTACACAAATTGGAAATTGTTACGAAATCCATATATTTCTTCAATATCACTACAATCTTTTATCTACGCTCCATTGCAATTTCTTCTCAAACCTGTTTAGAATTATTTGTGCTCTAAACATAAAGCTAACAATATTCTTGTATACACCAATTATTTATTTTAAATTCAAGCATTTACAATCAGGTTTCTTTTAAATACTCTATTCATCCACTAACACTTATAATAATTATGTCAAACAATTTTATAAAACACACTCGCAAGTGAGTTTTAGAAAATACAATCCCTTATTGAACAATCTCCAATAATTACTTTGAACAAAAAGAATTTTTGGAAAACAGTCTTAATATTTGTATTTTTGAGTTTTTCTTTTTCTACTAAATGCATTATTATAAAAGAATATTTATTTTTAGAAAATATTATGCCATTTTGATATAATAATAATTCATTGGATCCAAAAATTGTTTTTTTTTTTTATTATACTGCTCTAAGTATTTACAAATTTAAAAAATAATTTTTGTTAATAGTTATATGGCTGGTACTTTTTCTTAGATAATCGAGATCGAAAGTACCCAGCTACTAATTTTGTTTTTGCTAATTAAGTACCGATATTACATTTATGTACAAAAGGTAAAAATTTGATTTATTGAAAAAACTCATATACAGGGTGTTACAAGGAGATCTCGGTAACGATAAGAGATACAAGGTTGGTTAAATATAGGCCAGAAGGAAGAAGCCAGAGAAAATGCACTGACCAAGAAAGTGCAGACACCAGACAAGGCACAGAAAAGAGGGCCCAAAAACATAACCCTTCCACACAAAGCGGACGTGAAAAGGAAGAGGACGAAACCTCCTCATGCTGACAAAGCCGCTGGGCCAAGCACCAGCCACGCCGTGTCAGCAAAAACCATAAAGGTGGCAGCACTTTCCGCGGCATTCCCTAAGGAAACCCTCAGTGCAGAAGAACTTTCTGCCCTAGAGGACGTCATTGTGGAGGAAATGATGAATGAGGCGATCAAACATGCTGGTGATTGATTGCCTGACCAAAGAAACAGTTGAGTGGCTGATAGAATACGTCCGCAGGTTGGAAACCTGGCAGGGAGGAGAGCTAATGGTGTGCCTGGGAGACGACATCCCAAAGGCGCACACCATCACAGTGTTCTTCCCAAGAAGCAAAGGGCAAAACCCCCTTAAAATCCTAAGCCTGGTAAACACCCTAAACGAAGGGCTTAACACTTAGTTGGGTTGGAAGAAGGTAACACTTGCAGATTCTGTGAAGATGATGAAGAAACGCCTCGCCATCTTCTACTGAACTGCGATGTCGTAAGCCGCTCAAGAATGAAGAACTTGGGAACTCCCCTTATACAGCTGGAAGAAATTCCAGCCCTGGAACCGCTAGACATTCTAAAATTCCTAAAGGACCTAGGACTAGAGGGTCTATTTTAAGCAGGAAACCCGAACTTAGCAGCAGAAGGAGGGGTACAATAGATCAACCTTGGTCGTAATGTAACTGACACCTCCGACACATACATACATACATCCTGTATGATTACCGAGATCTTCATGCTTACTCACAAATTTGTAACACACTGTGTATGATGTACTTTTGTGTCTAAAAAAAATTAAAATTATATTTTTGCTAAAAATCAGTCCATGTTCAGTCGACTAACAAAAAATAATGACAAAACGAGCAGTTTTTAGGTACATCAAAAGTTAATGTAACTTTTGATGAAAACCCATACCCTAGTATATAAATGAATAAATAAAAATGATCTATGATTTATGAATTAAATGCACCAAAAGTTTGATTTAAGTACTAGTTGCAATTTACTATCTAGAGCATCCTTTTTTTTTTGAGATCATTTAAACAAAACAAACGAAATAATTTAAATAATATAACATTGTCATGGCAAAATACACATAATTTGTTCGTTAATTTTCTATAAATTGGCAGTTACTAAAATGGCAGTGTTAGACAAAATTAAACAAAAACCGGAAATCAATTAAAATAAATAATAAGTGTGCTAATTTTCCAGCACATAGGATTGGAATTATAATAAAAAGAGATCTTATATGCCGATTTGAAATAAATTACACGATATCTATAATAATTAAAACCATAGTTGATTTTAACCGAGTCAAGGAATGAGGGGGCTTATTGCAACCACAATTAAAATTAAAAAGAAAATGAACCTACTTACACGAATTAATATTTACCTACTTAATAAAACGATTTTCCATAAAAATTCGGAAATGAACGTTTTTAATAATGGCAGTGGCGGCTAAACTGGTTGCTCAAATGATCAATTCAAATCATTCTCAAAACCTTATTCGGCCTTGCAATTTTCTCTATCGTCTAACCTTAACACTATACGTACAGCCTTAGTGAAAATTAATTCACCGACATTCAATATATTCACATTTTGGTTATTATCGATGTAGAAATGGAGAAATTACATTTTTGGGAATGTGAACTGATATTGAAAAAGTTACCATATTATGAAATTTTCAATTCAAGTTAAAATGTATTTCCAAGACTGTAGACACGATGACAAATACAAGATACAAAATACCAAAAATTTGAAAATGTTTAGAAAAAAGTATGATTTTGTAAATATCAAATGTAATTTCTCTATATCTCTATATGGATAATAACAATTTCTCCACCCAATTTCTACACTTGCTTTTTGAGTCTACCCGAATAATCCTTTCATCATACAAAAACTAAGAGAAAATTGATGATATAAATATCGTAAGAAGATTAAAAATTATTCCTAAAAAACACTTATTTTAATTTATGAAAAATGTATCTGTATTAATTAGTTCCTACATTATTATTCTAAGTAGTTTCTGTATGACAAATCCTAAATTATTTTTTTGTATTTCCAGTAGTAGCAGCACTTTTAAAAAGGCAATCCTAGAAATGCTTTGCAGTCTTAAAAAAATTTAAACAATAAATCTAACTTAACAGTCTTTCAATAATTAATTATTTACTGGAAATGATTTTTTTTTTTGAACTTTTACACAGGCTAAAAATAAATTCCTAATAATAATAATAATAATAATAATAATAAAACTGCTGCTACTATTGCACCTAATATGACCATTTAAAGTAGATCACTGTGGTCAAAACCGACCACGGCAGCTATAAATTAACGCGCTTACTACGACTATCTTACATGGAATTCTAGAAAAACGTTCTAAAACTCCATCTATTTACACCGAAAAAATGCTTAAACTACTAAAAGTTACTATCACGACGATTTCAGAGGCTTCCTGCGGTGCTTTTGGCCCGCCCGTCTTTGGCTATCGGGAAACAGGGTGGGACTGAGGGCTTCGCGAGATTGGGGCGACAATGCGGGAATCGACACCGTCTTGGTCGGTTTGTACTCTTTTTCTGAGACCCATTCATCTGGTGTACTGAAACAGAAACAAATATTTTCTTTGAAAAGTGATTTTTTGACTTTGCTCAACTTGGTACCCACTACTTTGGTAGTTGGGCAAGTCCGTTCCATGCGAGTTATTATGTAACGAAAATATGCAACGCTAGGCATAAAATCTGGCGCCTTACAGTAGTTCGCAACTTTGCGGATGGATGGCGACAGTTTTGTAGAGGATTTATCCCTCTTTTAAATAAAGCGCCATATTAATTAGTGCAAAATATTATTATCAGATAAAAATTCCTTGTTCCTGTACTTTGTTCTTTGCAACTTGCACAGCTAGCCGCTAGAATGAGTATAAATTTATTTTCAACTGTATTAACTAGAAATCAACCGTGCTGGCCCAGTTTTACACTAACACTGAGGGCCGGTTTCTCAATAGCGAGTCACCTCCGGGATGGTTTTAACTCCAGGGTAAGCGTGTCCAGTTACTATGTTTACCCTGGAGTTATCCTTGACCCGGAGGTGACCTGCTATTGAGAAACCGGCCCTGGATCAGTTTAAGTTTAGTACATTCCCATAAGAACATGATTTTGGCCATTAACACCATTCTGTTGTTTCTTTTGCGATCTGCTTATTTATGTACAGTCGTGAGCATAAAAAATGGAAGACCCGATTTTTCCTATTGTAAAACGGGCTCACCAGCTACACCGTCGGCAATGACAGGGATTGTCATATTCGACCAAAATCCATTGAACAGAAAAGACTGATTTACCCAAAATAGCGAAAAATGATAAAACCTGTCAGTCGGGTTTCCGATTCTTGGGGTGTCCCAGTTTCTGTGCTCACGATTGTACCTGTTCAGAGCTCACTCTGCCTATGACGTCACGATATCCATGCTCATACCGTGGAGTGCAAAGCCGAACGAACTCAGCCATTAAGGTTGATAGATTTTTAGTGATGTGTCATCTGTCAATTGTCAAAAAATAGCATAAAATTAAATTTAAAAAAGTATGTAAAGTTTGTTTCACCAGGGTATGTACTTGCCACCAGCATTTGCCTTCCTTGTTTGACAAATCAAAATTGACTGAAAAAAATCAATGACGTCAAAAACGTTTGTTGGTTCTTAAACCAGAAGTCATTCATTTTAATTTGTCAAAAAATTGAATGTGTCATATATGAATTAATTTACGACAACCCTTTTTTTTTCAAGTTTCAAGGTCAAGTATGAACCCTGGTGAAACGAACTTTACTTAAATAATAATAGTACTAAAGTCAAGTTCTGGAAAAGAAATGAGCTTGAAATTTCCCTCCGGACTACGGACCTCCCCCTAACTTTACTCCCCCCCCCCAGAAATGTAAAGTATCTAACCCCTTGGCCAGGATTGCAGGATTCAGTTAATTATTTCATTTTTTTACCAGTAACCTGAGAAATAGTCATTATTTAATCTATTTTTCTGGGAAAAAATTGAATTTCTCTCCCTAGGTTAATAATGAAAATAATGAAAAAAAAACTTAAGTCAATAATAAAAATGACGTCAGGACGCAAGGATATTGTCATAACGTAAGGTGAAAGTCCCAATTATCGACACTGTCCCAACTATCGACATTTTTAAACTTACGATCCAAAAAATAAGAATCTGATTCTTGCTACACCTATTGTCGTATCATAATAAAAAAGCAGTAGGTTTCCCCTACCTCTCCTAACAATCCTCAACCGGTAATGCAGAAAATATTAATTTTAAAAATATTTTCATCCAGTCATTCTGCAACAGTGTTGCCAGGCGTACCATAATTATGCAGAAAAATACATAGTAAAATCGCGAAACATAATTTACCATAATTTATAATAATTTTGACCTCTTTGTATTTTTCTTAACTTTATAATACTCCTTGTTTTATCTCCTTATGTTTTTGCTGTTTAGAGGTTTAAGAGTTATGCGTGACGTCATAAATCCAGTTGCGTGATCGGTTGCCGAGCCGCAGTGGCATTGATGTTCTTTTCTATCTCACTTTCACTCACGTCAGCGGATAGCACGTCACAATAAAAGAACTGTCAGTACTGTCACTGTCACAGTTTGTCTGTTTCTCATTTCATTAATAGGCGAGTTCGGTTAATCCTCCGCGAGGTAAAAGTTGACACTGTTGACAGCTCACGTGATCTTCCATTCGAAGTAAAAAACTGATGACGTGGTCTCAGTCACCTTTTCGCTCGCGGAGGATTAACCGAACTCGCCCAATATCACTACACACTTAACCAAACATAACCTGTACTCAAGGTTTTTTAGAAGAAGGAGGTTGTCTGATAACTTTCATGACGTCATCTGTATGCCTCAACATAATGCAAATCTCCGTAAGGTACTCCAGATGCGTCATTAAGTTACCCATTACCAGAAAACCTATGAACTTGACCTGTACCATATTGTTTTTTTTTTTAAATAACAATTATGACCTTCATGTATTTACCATAATTTCAAAATCAAAATCTGGCAACACTGTTCTGCAATGACATGTGTACCAATGCAGATCGTTGTGAAAAGTGCTAAGAAACAGGTAAGTTGATTATGGTGATTTTAGTTTGAAATACTTAACCAACCTTATCGAAATTGTTATAGAGATATTGGCTCAAAAACAACTATGGCTGAGTAGCTTCCCGTATGGGACCTCAGTATTCGCTGAAAAACTGGCTAATTAACAAAAAAAACTCTTCAATATTGAATATAGGTAGTGTTGATTGAATCTAGTGTGTGTAATTAAAATTTAGCACAAGAATAAGGAAGATACCTAATTTAAACTTTTATTGACCTAAATTATTGAAATAATTACTCACAATTATTATTAAATTGACACAGTATGTTTCGATTTTTGAGGAATGCTAGATCGAGGGTTTCTCTGCCGTTCTCTTTCCCCTCAAGAATTCTAGGTCGAGAACGGTATGATTTACTTTATTAATAAAATAGACATTTCACAAATTTTTCGTTTCTTTTACATATCACAACTTCCCTTGAATTTCCCAAATATTTGCTATGTCGGGCGCATGTCCAGTAAGTAAAATTGAGTAAGTTTCCACAACATAGGTCCTATTTTTCTCTTCATTTCGTTTTTCAGAAGATTTGTTGTTTAAAGATAATAAAAATTCTCATCGTTCAACCTTACCCAAAGACCCCGGGTATGTTATACTATACTAGTTCCTTCTGATTGTTCACCTTTAAGGAACAAACTACTCAGAAATAGGTACTTTACCAAAAATCTTGGGAATTTAGAGGAATTTGTAGGGAAATTTAGAGGAATGTAGGAGATATTGGGGGAATTTATCGACTTCAACATTGAGCATAATAATAATACAAACATTTATTTCTTATCACGAACAATTTTGAGGATTTTTATAAAATTTGTTACAGGCATGTTGGAGGAATTTGCAGGTAGGAATTGATTGCACAAATTAGAGGCGGTGATTTACCCCGTGAAATTTCATGAGTACCTAATTGAATTGTTCTGATCTGAGGCCTTAATTAAATTCATGAATACTTACACATCTTTTGGATGCCATTGTACCAGCAATTCCTTGTTGCCTTTCGAATCAGTCCTCCTGGCTAGAATGTGACTTTGCAAGTTGATAACCTCTCCCGAACTGTCGATCTGACCCAGAGTGCGCGCCTGCGTCATGCACAAAAGCTTGTGCTGGATACCCTCCATTATGCCGGAATCGATAAAATCGAACATACGAGCTAAAAAAGGAAAACAAATCTATGAAAATTTTGTTTGTGGTCGATAAAAGGAGGGCTTTTCCAATTCGTTTCATTTTTTTGAAAGCTTATTTTGAGGTTTACATTATATGAGTATGATTAAAATAAATAATACAATGAAATTTTGTACCGAGTCAAATTGTTACAATCCAAGATAATAAAATTATTGTACAAAATAAATACAAATTTTAAGAAATTTTACAATTTTTATATTCTAACTAATCTTTGAAAATGCAAAGCACAAACTAACCCATTTAATATTATGTATTATGTAGTTTTCCAGAAAATTTGTATATACTTCACAGTAATAACATTATTTTGTATTTTTAGCAGTTTTACAAAAACCCATAGCACTTTTTGTATAAACCCTAAAATGTTCAGCGCACAGTTTTTTTCTGTCTTTGAGCACATTTTCTTTTTTTTTAATTTACCTAATAAACATGAGAAAATAAAAAATAAAAAATGAATAATGTAACACAAATTAAGGATTGTATGATTTTACATAAAATATCGGGGCATATATTTTTTCAAACAAAAATCTCAAACAAATTTTAATCAAGGAATGGCAACAACTTGCTTGTTCTTTCATAATTCAGCAATAAATAGTCAGTATTCTGTGATATTTGAAGAGCCTTACAATTTTTGAAATCTACATGCCTATATGATTTCATTGGGTCGTAAGTTAGCAGTATAGTCTTAACAAGTCATAAGAGAGTTCAAGATTTTTGGAATCTTATTTCTTCAAATCCAGTCTAGAATTTTCCGATTTTTACAGAACCTAGAATATCAAAGAAGTCTTTACATTCTTCATTTTGAAATTTCAAGTAATAAGACTTTACAGAATGATTTTAGAACAAACCAGAACACAGAAAACTTGTAGATGTCAGCATAATCCTTCTTCAGGTTCTAATTTGCATTATTTGCAATGCGGATTTTTAATTTTAGAGTAACTTTTGTTAGAAAATTAGTTACTTAAAATCATCTGATGAAAAGGATCAGTCAACTGCTTCTACAACTTAGAAAACGATCAAACTTTTACTGCATCGGCATTTTCATTGAATTTTGCCATCCCCATTGATAATCAATCCAATTTGTTTGTGATGTTTGTTGAAACAGATCCAATTAGTTCAAAAATGATAGTTTGATACCCTAAATTTTCAATGCACCCTTACGTCCAAAAAAGTATTCAAGAGATGAGATGAAAATGGTAAAGTTGACATTAGCTAAAATATTCACAAAGCTTGAATACTTCTAGTACATAATAATATTTTACAATTACTGAATGGGAAAAGCCAACGCTAAAAACGGGTTATAGGGCGGAATAAAATACTGACGATTTTTATATTCAAGAAGTTACAAAATAGACTTATTTTCTAAGTAAATCACTTCCTTGGGACGCCTTATCGTTCAGCAAAAATAAATAAAAATATCATTAATTTTAGTAGATTTTGTGCTTGTTGGTTACACTTCCATCAGTATATTGTCCATATTACTGAGTCTTTTTCTGGGCACTTTTAGTCTTAATGTCTTTATAATCACTTTGATATCAAACCTGTCATAATTTTTTATTAATTTCGTATGAATTGTGTAATTTGGGTTAGTTTGTAGCGTTTCTGACAGAGTGGCACGGTTAGTTTTGCGTGCGTCCAGGCCAGAATTTCAAGGAGTAACTTTATTTTTATTAAACTTTGTAAGGTATAAGGGGTTTTACATTTTACATGTTGATGTGTTATACTTATAACACATTTCAAGACAACATTATTATTAATTCTGGCTTGGGGGGGCATCCCACATATTCTCAACGCATGTTTGCATTACAAAGAATTTAAATACATATACACAAATGGGTGCAAGGAATACTTAACTACTAAACTACATACATACAGTTCACTTTTTCAATGTTTATGAAATGTTTTAAAGGAATATTGCTGATTATGCATGAACATATATACACTTTCACCACACCAGAAATTTGAAATAACATCTATACTGACTTCCATAGCATACATAGGATAAAAACCTGTGTATATCGGCCCAAGTTCTATAACCTTTTGCTAACAGTGAGGCTGAGGAAGGCTACCCTTAAACAGATTCAAAAATAATATAAAGCAGTATTTGATAGGAATATATTTTTTTCTCAAATCATCTATTTTATAATATTATGCTGTTTATACTGAACTAATTGTGTTGTGTGTAACCCAGTTACCCTGTGTCCCATTTAAAACCGAAATTATTATGAAAAGCTAGATATTTTATATACATACTATAAAATGTAAATTCCAACCATCAAAGGGTCTATTACGGTGTAGAAAGGTTAAGGACACCCAAATAAAACATAAAAAGAAATTTTACCTGACCAAGGCTGCCTTCTAAACCTAATAATCCGGCCGTTCCTCTTGAACAACTTCACCTGGCCGTTTTCTACCGATTTTTTAGTGTTGGTGTTTTGGGTCCCGTCACTGTTGAAGTGGTTATTGACGTGCCTTTCCAACATCAACTAAAAAAAATAATAGAAATCACATATCATCCATGATATTTAATAAAATGAGTTATTACCTGCGAATTAAACCTTTGGCCGCATCCGTCCACGATACACCTAAAAGGTTTGGTCCCGGCATGTGCCAACACATGCCTTTCCAGCCACGATATCGAACAGGACGTCCTTCCGTGCACTTTGCAGCCTCTCCACAGGCAGACATAGTGTTCTTGGTTGGCTTGAGATTGAGATATCACATGTTTCACCTTTAAAAAGAAAAAAAATATTAATTATTGTAGCAAAATTCAGTGGATATTTTTTACCTGAAGATGTTCTAATAAGGCCCCACTGGTATCGAATTGTGCCGCACATTCGTCCCATCGACAACGGCTGTCACTGGACTGTGGCGGACTTTTGCCAAGTTCTCTTCCTACGTCTTTTTGCTTTTGTCTTTGAACAGGAGGAAACCTAAATTATAAAACACATTGTAGATTAGGATTGGTAAATAATGTTAAAAATACACTATAAAGTCTCCCAAGACGCAGAACAACATTTATTTACGTATTTTGAATTCGTCTTTGTCCCCATAATTAAAAAGATAATATCGTAATCCCCTTGTATTTACCAAAATGAATATTCATAGTATGTTGTAATTTAATATCTATTTCGCCCACCTTTATTGAAAAACCCGTGGGCATACTTAGAAACTATAAGTTCTTACCTAATTGTCTTTGGTTGTGACAATATCGGCGATTTCTTAGGTTCTTCCGAGACCTGTTCGTCCACGCTAATTTCCAAACTACCGAGGCTGGATATTCCACTGTCCGAGTCCGTTGGCGAAGGAGATTTTTGGTCCATTATTCGAGTTTGATTCCCTAAAGAAATAAATTATTATTCAACGTTAAATCGTCAATTGATTCTTACCGCTATTAAAATTTCTCATTAGTTTATTCAATTTTTCAATTTGACTTTCACGTTTCCTTAGAGAATACATTTTGGAAAAAAAAAATAATAACAATCAAGACCTCTTTACTTGCACCTATCTTATACTGAAGTTGATAAAATTCTGCAGGTAAAGAGGATTTGAGTTATCCAAAGACAAGAGAAGGGGCTCTAGGTAGAATAATTGTATGATAATTACATTTTGAAATCGTTTAAAGAAGGGTTTTCCCAGTAACACAATAGGCAAAAGAACTTTGATTTTCTGTAGCAATTTACTCATCAATACGTTGTTCAAGTAAAATACTCACCTGAAATGTGTAAGTTTTAAGCTTTAAGCCATCTTCTTACCAAAACGATGAAATTTCATTTTTTTTTTGTTGAGATTTTGTATCCTAATAGTCAATTAACATCCCTCAAACTCCATACACTAAATTATTCTCAGATTTGAAGCCGAAATCTATGAAAAAAGGCACTCAGAAAATATGAAAAATTGATAAATCACCTCAAATTGCTTAACACGATTTTATCTCAGAAACTATAAGCGCAAATGAGCTGAAATTTTCAGGGATTGTAGTCCTTTGAAAAGGATAATTTTCAGTGAAAGATTCAGCTTTCTATCTATAATAGAAAAAAAGTTATGACCTCTCAAAGTTTTCCAAAATCTAAATCATAAGGTAGATACCTTCTTACTAAAACGATGAAATATCAAATTTTTTTTTGTCGAGATTTTGTATCCTAATGGTCAATCAACATCCCTCAAACTCTATACACTAAATTATTCTCAGATTTGAAGCCAAAATCCATGAAAAAGGGCACTCAGAAAAATTGAAAAATTGATAAATCACCCCAAGTTGCTTAACACGATTTTATCTTAGGAACTATAAGTGCAAATGAGCTGAAATTTTCAGGGATTGTAGTCCTTTGAAAGGGATAAAATTCAGTGAAAGTTTCAGCTTTCTATCTATAATAAAAAAAAAGTTATGACCTTTCGAAGTTTTCCAAAATCTAAATCATAAGGTAGGTACCTTCTTACTAAAATAATGAAATTTCAAATTTTTTTTTGTCGAGATTTTATATCGTAATGGTCAAACAACATACCCCAAACTCCATACACTAAATTATTCTCAGATTTGAAGCCGAAATCTATGAAAAAAGGCACTCAGAAAATATGAAAAATTGATAAACCACCCCAAATTGCTTAACACGATTTTATCTCAGAAACTATAGGTGCAAATGAGCTGAAATTTTCAGGGATTGTAGTCCTTTGAAAAAGATAATTTTCAGTGAAAGATTTAGCTTTCTATCTATAATAGAAAAAAAGTTATGACCTCTCAAAGTTTTCCAAAATCTAAATCATAAGGTAGGTACCTTCTTACTAAAATGATGAAATTTCAAATTTTTTTTTGTCGAGATTTTATATCGTAATGGTCAATCAACATACCCCAAACTCCATACACTAAATTATTCTCAGATTTGAAGCCGAAATCTATGAAAAAAGGCACTCAGAAAATATGGAAAATTGATAAATCACCTCAAATTGCTTAACACGATTTTATCTCAGGAACTATAAGTGCAAATGAGCTGAAATTTTCAGGGATTATAGTCCCTTTATTGAGATAAATTTCAGTGAAAATTTCAGCTTTCTATCTATAATAGAAAAAAAGTTATGACCTTTCAAAGTTTTCCAAAGTCTAAATCATAAGGTAGGTAGGTACCTTCTTACTAAAATGATGAAATTTCAAATTTTTTTTTGTCGAGATTTTATATCGTAATGGTCAATCAACATACCCCAAACTCCATACACTAAATTATTCTCAGATTTGAAGCCGAAATCTATGAAAAAAGACACTCAGAAAAATTGAAAAATTGATAAACCACCCCAAATTGCTCAACACGATTTTATCTCAGGAACTATAAGTGCAAATGAGCTGAAATTTTCCGGGATTATAGTCCCTTTATTGAGATAAATTTCAGTGAAAATTTCAGCTTTCTATTCATAATAGAAAAAAAGTTATGCCCTTTCAAAGTTTTCCAAAATCTGAATCATTCTTTCCAAAATCTGAATCATTCTTACTAAAACAATATATGAAAAAAGGCACTCAGAAGTTTACAAAAACCTAAATGTTCAAGTACAATACTCATCTGAAACATGTGAGTTTTCGGACTAAGAAGGAAGGCACCCAATTGTGAACAACATGATAATAAGTGAATTGCTACAGAGTTCTAGTCATTAGGTACTAAACAATGGGACATTTTATTGTAGAATTATTTTTTTAAGCTTTGAATGATAGTTACAATTTTGTCTCAGAATATCTATTAATCCTAAAGCTAGAAATCCTTACCTGCATTCCAACATTTATCATCGGGTGGTTCCTGTGGCTGGGGTTGATGCGTCTGACATTCTTCCGTTCTGTAAGGTTCTTCAGTTCGAGTAGCCTCCGTACTAACATTCCTGACAAACGATTTTTCGCTCGGGCTACCATACGATTTCCCTAATAAATTTTCCGAAGCTCCTTTAGGCCTCGCAGGTAATACTGTCGGTACTGCTGTATCCACACTTAAGGTAACATTTCCAGCATTCAACCTTGGCGGTAAGGCATTTAAGTTTACGATAGGCACTACCGTTGCATTGAGTTTGACAAAATTTTGTACTGGTTGAATAAGACATGATGGATTACGATTGATGATCGGCAAGGTGCCGACTTTTTCATTGTTGATTGTGGCAAACTGAGGCATGAAAATATTATCGGGCGGTTTAGGGGATTTGAGATACGCCAAATTGGAGGGAAAACTTACTGCAGTTAGGGTCATGGTGGGTGCGAAAGGATGAATATTGCTGGGTTCTTGTACTTTACTGGGAGCTGGAAGGATTTTCCTAGGAATAGTGCTAGTTTTTCGGGCTTTAGCAAACTCCATTTTTTTCGCTGCCGCATTGACTCTCCAACCGTTTTTAGTGGTGGGTACATTTGCAGAACTAATCACAGAAATTTTAGCATCAGCATTTTTAATTTGATGTTTCCTCATTCCATTCGACTTCATTTGAGTTTTGAAATACTCAGTAATTTTCCCTTGTTGCATTTTGGGCGAAACAGCTTCCACTCGCTTAAGTTTATAATTATTATTGGTCGGACTAGAATCTATAACGTTTTGAACCTTCGCAGGCGAGCTTAGTATTAGGCATGACGGTGATTCCTCGTTATTACAATTATTATTAGTCTTCGGGCGTTTCGTAAAGGCAGTTTTGTCGTTGAGCGGTCTCTTGATGGGCGACCCTCTTTCTTCGTCCGCTGTCCAAGGCCAGGGCGCGTACTGGGCAGACTGGGCCGGTGGCATTTTGGGTGGCAGTCCGGCCCCCGAGTCCTCCGAATGGTTTGAGGCAGTGCTGAACGGGGATCCGGGGTCGGTGATGTCACTCGAGGCAGTACTGCTACCACTGCAATCTGAACAGCTTAGGACTGCTACTCCACTGGAAAAAAAAGAAACACATCATTAAAATTTTACATACTAATGCCATTGGATAACAATGACCTAGTCCTACTTAGGAAAAACTTAGGTTTAATAGGTCATTTGCACGAACGTGGGGTTTAAAATCAGTCTGCCCTTTCAAACTGAATTTTTATGTTCACTTAACACTTTTTTCTACCCCTCAGGTTTTTTATTCGCGATTAATTTTAAATTATGTAAATGCTTCAGATGCCTATCTCAACGAGCACTTATGTAAATCGGATTACAGGTTAAAGCAAGGGTTAAAGTTTTCTACCCAGGAGTTCGTGTGTATGAAATTCTGTATAATTAATGAAAAATTAATGACTGGGTTGGTGGATCTATTTTTTATAAAACAATTGTAACTTTCTTGCTTCAGGAAAATTGGATATTTTTTAGAAAAACAAGTTAAGAGGAAATTTTGAAACTTTCGGAGTAGAAAGAGGAAGGTTAGGAGTTCATTGGTCTTCTCAGCTGAAAAAGGTTTAAGGACTATATATCTGAGGTTTTAGGCCAAACAAATTCTTCTATAGATCTTTTCAGAAACTTAATTTTCACATCCTGATCTTGGACAACGATAATTCTCCCAATGTAACAACCATCATCTAAGGAAACAGCGTAGTTTTCTTGCCTCTCTTTCTGTTTTCATATATTATAGGAAGCTTGATAGGAAGGGTCATTTTCTACATTTGAAGAATCATGGACATACCTATAACTGTTCCTCATCAGAAAATTCGTCAGATGAATATTTTTCAAAATTCCTGATAACTTTTTGGTCTAAGATTCCAGGCTCTCAAGCTGAAAAATTCAAGAATTCATAAGCTGTCTCTGTCCCTGATGGTTCAAAGAAAGCGCTACAAATGGCCTACTAGATTTTTCAAAATGTCAGAGTTGGGGTGTTTTGCTGCCAGAAACTTATTTGAAAAATTTGTAGTGAATTTACTCTTAAATGACTCTGTTTTTGTTAAACTATAAAATAACCACATGAGGGAGGGTGCAACTTAACGAAAAAGCTATAATTGACATGTCTACTTAAATTGTCAAAGTTGAGGTGTTTTCTTTTCGATGTAGAACTTAATCATTTTTGTCTCAATTATTTGTCTATTCCAGGCTCTTGAAAAACTCCCTGTTTTTTTTAGTTTCTCAATTCAAGAGCCGGGAATAAGAAAACTATTAATTTTGCTTCGACTTTTATCTATTCCAGGCTCTCAAGCTGAAAAACTCAAGAAATCATAAACTCTCTCATATGGATTTTTTATGGTGCAACAAAAATAGAGTCACTTAGAGTAAATTCACTCCACACTTTTCAAATAAGTCTCAAGCAACAAAATGAGAGCACCTCAACTTTGACAGTTTTAACAAATCTAGTATGTCTCTATTACTGATAATACAAAGAAAGAGCTACAAATGGCCTACTAGATTTGTTAAAACTGTCAAAGTTGAGGTGCTCTCATTTTGTTGCTTGAGACTTATTTGAAAAGTGTGGAGTGAATTTACTCTAAGTGACTCTATTTTTGTTGCACCATAAAAAATCCATATGAGAGAGGGTGCAACTCCAAGAAAAAGCTATAATTAACATAACTACTTAAAATGTCAAAGTTAAGGTGTTTTCTTTTCGATGTAGAACTTAATCATTTTTGTCTCAATTATTTGTCTATTCCAGGCTCTTGAGCCCCTCCCTGTTTCCTTTAGTTTTCCAATTCAAAAATCGGGAATAAGAAAAGTATTGATTTTGTCTTGACTTTTGTCTATTCCAGGCTCTCAAGCTGAAAAATTCAAGAATTCATAAGCTGATGTCTCTATCACTGATGATACAAAGAAAGAGCTACAAATGGCCTACTAGATTTATTAAAACTGTCAAAGTTGAGGTACTTTCATTTTGCTGCCCGAGACTTATTTGAAAAGTGTAGAGTGAATTTACTCTAAATGACTCTATTTTTGTTGCACTATGAAATAATCACATGAGAGAGGGTGCAACTTAACTAAAACGCTATAATTGACATGACTACTTAAAATGTCAAAGTTAGGGTGTTTTATTTTCAATGTAGAACTTGATCATTTTTGTCTCAATTATTTGTGTATTCCAGGCTCTTGAGCCCCTCCCTGTTTTCTCAAGTCTTTCAATTCACAGGAATAAGAAAATTTATAATTGTATCTCGACTTTTGTCTATTCCAGAATCTCAAGCTAAAAAATTCAAGAATTCTCAAGCTGTCTCTATCACTGATGATACAAAGAAACAGCTACAAATGGCCTACTAGATTTGTTAAAACTGTCAAAGTTGAGGTGTTTTCATTTCGCTGCCCAAGACTTATTTGAAAAGTGTGGAGTGAATTTACTCTAAATGACTCTATTTTTGTTGCACTATAAAATACCCACATGAGAGAGGGTGCGCAACTTAACGAAAACGCTATAGGCATAACTACTTAAAATGTCAAAGTTAAAGTGTTTTCTTTTCGATGTAGAACTTTATCTTTTTTATCTCAATTATTTGTTTATTCCAGGCTCTTGAACCCCTCCCTGTTTTCTTAAGTTTTTCAATTCAAGAGCCGGGAATAAGAAAACTATCAATTTTGTCTCGACTTTGGTTTATTCCAGGCTCTCAAGCTGAAAAATTCTAGATTTGTTAAAACTGTCAAAGTTGAGGTGCTTTCATTTTGCTGCCCAATACTTTGATTCAAATCAAAGCACAAGACTGACAAATTTCAAATGTAATTAACGCCCCCTTAAGTTATAATAGAGAGTTCTCGTGCTGTCCAAATTTCAAATACCGTAACGCTATTTGACAAGTATGACAGTTACGGTGTTAGCGTTAGCGGAGCCCGGTATCTAACGGGACTTAGCGGATGCCTTACCGTAACGCTATGCTATGTCAAAATTAGTTCACGCTCCATTTCCGTCTTTAAGGACAGCAACTTTTAATAATTCCTCCATAAAAAAACACCAAGGTAAAATTAATCACATTCAGAATCTTCAGGATAAATGATAAGTTAGAAGACAAGCAAAAAAAGTTGGGTAAGATCACTCAATTTAGCTGTCAAAATGTGAACAGAATAAGGGATTGGAGGATTTTTGCGTATTCGTGTCCGAGAACTATAAAATACCGTATTGTTAGCGGTACCGCATTAGCCTAGCATCTGAGGCACGAGAACTCTCTAATATGAACTAAACTGTGGTTTTATAAACGGAAAACGAACGCAGCAAATATGCGTAAACCTCTTAAGTATACTCAAATGGAGTTTATAAAAGCAACAGAAAATTAAATTACATAATTTGTTTTGTGATTTTGTTTATTTTTTTTTCTTACATTAAAAAAATGATTTTCTTTCCGAACAGGCATTGCACACTCTGGCCCCTCCCCTAGCTACGGGCCTGTGTCATATTTTGATATTTTTTGGGAAAACAAGTCGAGGGAAAATTTTGAAACTTTTGGAGTAAAAAGAGGAAGATTAGGAGTTCATTATACTAAAATTTCAAATTGATCCAATGAAAAACAACAACATAAGAAATTCTAGAAAAATCAACTTCTAATAACTGAAATACACTGTGTAACATTTTGATATTTTTTGGAAAAACAAGTTGAGAGAAAATTTTAGAATTTTTGGAGTAAAAAGAGGAAGGTTAGGAGACTAGGAGTTCATCATACTAAAATATCAAATTGATCCAATAAAAAACAGCGACATGAGAAATTCTAAAAAAACCAACTTCCAATAAGTCAAATAATGAAAATACACTCCATCACATTTTGATATTTTTTAGAAAAACTGGAAAACGCAACTAACAATAAGTCAAATAATGAAAAAATACTCTTGGACACATTTTGATATTTTTTAGAAAAATAAGTTGAAGGAAAATCTTGAAACTTCTAGGGTAAATAGAGAAAGGTTAGGAGTTCATTATACTAAAATTCCAAATTGATCCAGTGAGAAACAATGACATAAGAAATTCTAGAAAAAATCAATTTCCAAGAACTTAAACAATGATATAGGTAGGTACCCTCTGTCAGATTTTGGTATTTTTTGGAAAACCAAATTGAGAGAAAATTCTAAAAACTTTGGAGTAAAAAGAGGAAGGATAGGAGTTCATTATACAAAATTTCAAATTGAGAAAGTGGAAATTAAATTCCAAAAAGTCAAAAATATAATATAGTAGGCCTAATAGAAGGTTATAATCTTAGACTTTGGTCATATTCTAAAGCACGATTAAAATCTGAATATATTATTGAAATTATCGTATTACGAAAGAACATCAAAACTTATTGGTGAACGAACCATAGATGGCGCAACTCATCCGGTTCGGAAAAAGAATCGAACTATTAGACAAAACAAAGAGAGGGTGGGTAGGAAGACTGCACGTGCCCTTTGAAAAAGAAATGTAGGGCACACACATAAGGTTGAAATCCCCCTTTTTATGCCGCTACCCTGAGAGAGGCAAACGGGAACGGGAGATAATGTGCATTTTCCTCCCCCAAAAAAAACTGGTCAAGAACTCTTGCCATTGAAATTAGAGGGGAATAAACACAGTAGTAATTTTTAATTAGTTGCAGTTGAAGGCTTCACTTGCATTATTGATTAATATTAAGGGGGGAGCTTTTTCCAATACCATCAAAATGGAGCTTAATTAAAAGTGAGCCCGCATTAATGAATAAATGTTTCAAGTGTTATATGAATCATGTTGAAGGTATGTATTATAAAATGACCAGTTACGGTTTCCGGCTATAAAAAAAGTAGTTGAATGCCATTGCGGATGAGGCAATAAACATCAAAGAGAGTAGAATTGCCTCACTGAAAAACAATATTATTGATACAAGGTGCGATAAAGGATGAAGCCGCCCCATTAACTGCTGACATAACAGGAAATAAAGAGTGCTTATGTGTCTCTTCATTGAGTCTTGTTTGTATGTAAATTATGTTTTAGAGAAAATATTTTCCGAAACATAAAGTTGAATGAACTCGCTATACGAATTCCTTTTACGACGATAATAT